TAAACACTCTTCCCGGTATGGAAATACGACTTTCTAGCATTGTCTGCTCACCAATCAACTGACGTATATTAAGGTCATTGCTGCCATACGGGCTGCAATGGTCTTGAAGGTATTTTGATGTCCTGAGTGTCTGCTCACAGCGGGATGCCGTCTGAAATATGCACTGCACTCGGCTCTGCCTCCATGTTCTCAGCAACCGTAGTCCATGCTAAGGCTCCATGTTGGCTCAAACTGCTATGCTTCCTTCAGTGTGAATGTGAATTCCACAGCGCTGAGAATTTAGGAGTGTACAAATAAGCCCCGCACTTTGCACACAGGCGATGAGGCCATTTCTTGAATAGTGTTATCATTAAATGTAGTGCGACTTAAAGTATACTATACAAAGCAAGTAATCAAGCTATGATCAACGCAAAATGGATATTACCACACCGCGGGGGACATACCTCATCGAGTATAGCCATCACGAGAATACTGGTATCAGTGATGAATATCAGACGTAATTTGCAGGCAAATTGCATGCAAATCACCAGTCTTCGACGCTACTCCAGGGCTCTGCAAGGGTACCGACCATCACACACTTCAGCCAGAGACCAGGCATGGAGCGTGCATGCATAGCAGGCATGGACCACTTGCCTAAGGCAGTATGCGCCAACAGAGGCTGCTAATTAACTCGAGGAGATAATCCGATTTGCAGGAATGCTGGCACGATAATTGTGCCCCTTGCACATAACTAGCATTCTATAACACCTGGTCGACAAGTCCTGGCATTGGACTATGAGCGTGCATCTTGAACCTCTCAAGCTAGCTCCACCATGGTGCCAGTACATGACATGACTGTAACATTGTTAGGCAATCATCATGCATGCACCACGTAGTGTACTAGTATTGGAAGTGAGAGATGCCCATTCCAATCAACGCGTGCTACTTTGCTCCCACAATCATTGTAGCCTCATGTAGCATTGTAGGTTCCAAAATATCTATGTATGGCACGTAAGAAATGTATGCATCAAAAAATTGAAAATGCGATGGAAGCTTCGGCGATGCATACAATTATTTAGAAGGATGAAAAATGCCAGCGATAACAATGGCTGATGGCCGAGAGTGACTATCCAGACATCGTGTCTCGTTGAAACCAGCCACCAACCGCCGTTTCCTCACAGGTGTCCTTACCTAGCTCTTTTAACAATTTACCTTTTGAGAAACATACAGGGGTTAGGCGTATGATAGACGGACCAAACACACCTATGAAGGCTCGTTGTATTTGATCGCATCCCTTTCATTTTGGTTGCTCTAGAATTTCCGCTACACCTTGTGTCCAACCTTCACCTGGTCTGCTTAGTGACAGTGCAAGGTCTCACGCTTCTCACCAGCCAAATGTGATGACAGCAAATCCATACAGATGACCGTGTTAACTCGCAGTGGTGTAAAATATAGTACATATGCTTCACTCGTTCTTTTACCAGTTGCGAGATTTGGAGATTGGGTCGTTCAGTTTGACTTCTGCTCGATCCTTTCCGTCTGTTGCGGATGCTGGAGGTCTTGTGCGTCATATGAAGTCAACTGCTGGCCATTCGGCGGCGCATCGTTTCCCACAATCACGCCGTGGCGCCAGAGGGCTGGAGAGCCGCAGCCTACCATCGCTTGTAATCATAATACTACAGGCTGAGTCGTTGCAGCACCGTCCGCACCACCATTTTGACTGACAGCTGCGCATGTACGTCTCCTGGATCCTTGGCTGGAGACCTGCATAACGCATTGCTCTGCCTGCTACTACTACTACAGCATGGCTGCATGTATTGCAGCTCTTCTTGGCAAGCTGATTGTACACGACCTGTACTCGTATAAATATAATTATGTATTGACTATTACCGCCGAAGTCGCAACTTCTAAGTTCGTATGTATTGTATAGTTGCGACAAATACATGATTGTACAGTCTTCGTTTGACAAAAAATACTTCCACTGGTGGACAACTGTACGTGTATCTACAGTAGGCGTACATGTATTGAGCATTGTACTACAAGAATTTAGGTGGCAACACTCAGCTGTCGAAGCTCCGAAGGCATTGGAAGGGACCTGGTGCGCAGCAGCGCAATCCACTGCATTCAGACCATAAAGACTGGAAGCCACTCAGGGCGGCGTGCATTCGTGTAGCCGTTAGGTGAACGCGGTTTCGTTTGACTCGGTGCTAGAACGATCCCGAATTCATCGTTTCTCCTGGCAACCGGCAAAATGAACGGCCCAGCCGGTTCTCCTCTACATAGACCAGTACTTGGAGATTGTTCTTTGTCACTATTACCAGTTCTACTAACGTTCTATAGAGTATAGGTCACTACATGTACAGTGTACCTCCGCTTCAACGACCATTGTATTCATATGACAGCACAATTCTATGGGAACTGCTTGTCGAGAAGTACATGATGCGGAGACCTGCCCGCATCTGCAAACTGTTGTTTTGTGCTGCTCGGCGCAACACTGTCCAACACAGCGATCTGATCATGAACTTCACTCAGTGGCCTACATGATTGTGTTCATGTAGTGCTGTATGGTTCTGCATTCATGCCACTCGAACTAATCCTTATCCAGGTTTCGTTTAGCTCCTAGGCTATTTGCCCAACTTACGAGTCTACCACTTCCATGCACATGTGTAAACAGCGAATATTTCCTGCGATGCAGCCTCGTGGTGCGAAATTCCATTGCAAATATGATTATTCCATGGGATCCCGATAGACGACAGGGACTTCGCAATGAAACACGCTATCTTTTCTTCCCCTGTGTTGTGAGAGGCCACCACACTCGACATGATCTAGAGAGAGGAGATAATCAATTCCGCGATTCCAGGTGTTGCCTGGCTCTGTATTGTCGCTACACTATTTCCCAAGCTAATTAGCATGAATGTGGTATAGCTAGGTCGGTATGATCGTAGGATGGCATGATTCCCCGATGATTGCCTGTACATGCAATGATGTGCATGGTGGACATGACAGCACATGTACAAGCTATCAGTGATTTTGTACATGTACCAGGCATATTGTATTAGCTTGATGGGTAATGTGAAGTGGAGACGTGCCAAGTCACTAGGTAGTTATTTGTAGGTATTCTTTGTGGTCCCCGCTCACAACAACACACTCTGCTGCAACAGAGTTTGTTGTCCAGAGCACGTCGGCTCAGCAATGACAAAGTGGTGATCGTGGTGATGTGGAGATTATACGATATTTAATAAAAGGAGAATAACTGACTAAGAGAATGTAGGGATATGGTTCAAGTAGGTATGGAATGTTTAGGAAAGCTTCAGCAGTTCGGTGTGTGTATGCACATCTGAGTGTGTGTGTGTGTGTGTGTGTGTGTGTGTGTGTGTGTGTGTGTGTGTGTGTGTGTGTGTGTGCGGGCGCGTGTGTGTGGTGAAATGTTAGAGAAGCGAGAGCGGATGGGTAGCGCGCTGAAATTACATACATGTACTTGAGCCTCTCTACGCAAGTAGCCAATTGCCACAGCGGCCAATTCGAAAACGTCAAACAAATAATACAAGGTACATACATGTACATGACACATGGTACAGTTGGCTAATTATACCAAATAATTTGACACCAAAAGTTAGGTTCGTGGGAACGTTGTCTAGTCCTGATTGCATTGGGAGTGCAACTCAAATAGAAACGGAGTTATCATTCTTGTTTCTACTGGATGGTTTCGTAGACACCCAGACCTTGTATTGCTTGTAACTGTGGGAGCACTGTGCAGCTGCTGAAGGCCTGTTCAGTTGCCATCGCTTTGACGCCAAGTTGGCTTCCTTTTCAGTTGGAGAATGCGGCGAAATGCGTGACAGCATGTCATGATACGCATTTTGTCACTTACCACTGGGATACTGCCATAGGCGGTATTCTCAACTCGAAGTTTTCACGAGGAGAACGTCTAAATCACAAGTATCACCTGTCTGGTCTATGCCTATGGGGAGTGATGCGGATGAACAATTTCAGTTGCCAGTGACTTTGTTCCAGCTTTGTGTGCTGCCAATTCACAATCTAGGTACTAGGTAGCCTGAGCATTGCTAATGGCGGTGCTAACTAGTGTGCAACGTGAAAATAGCGAGGTGTCATGCTTCAATCTTATCCAAACTGAACATTGTCACTCTCGTACACCAAACATTCTCCGTGTTCCTCCCCGCCCCAGGTACACACACTGACAGTTCCTTATCGTTTAATTAATAGTCATCATCCACTTCAAACGTTAGAAAAAATGTAAAAATCTACCTGAAGGTAGTCGGACGGGTTTTATTGGACGAAGCTAGGCAGCAGCTAGCCATGCTGCATGCATCACCTAGGGCAGGAGGAACATAATTATGGTACGCTGTCAGACTGGACCCTGCACTTTCGGCGAATCATGACATAATACATTGTATTATGTTCATGCACTGCACCTTCCTAAGCTGGTTGTGTTTCTCAACGCAATTATAATAGCCTGCTGTAACGCGGACGTGTAAACTTTACTTTTGACTGCATCGTTAGAAGGATCACCAATCTCAAATGCGTTGGCGTTCTTGCACTGGTAAAGGCAGATATTCCTGACTGTATTTTAAGACTATAGGACTGTCTAGCAGATGTCTTGAAGCAGGTTTCCGTGTGATCGGCTTGGGAAGTGCCAGCAGGCCAGGGGGAGATGTGTGAAGCGCCGCCAGGCACACTACCCCATGCTGTACATGACTGGCGTGCATGAGGCGAGGACCTGCGATGGCTGCGGGGCCCTGACCCTACGCCAACCACAGGAAACGCAAATGTTACCCTGAGTGGGCGCGCGAAATGCACCGCAGGCCTCGGTCTGTCGCGCAGAGCAATTCGGTTACACACAATGTACACGTGCACATGTAGTACCAGTACGTATGTATCTGTGTGCGTGTCTAGGTGGCATCCAATCTGCTTGCATATACTGATTACAACGCTGGTAATATCCGCTGGACCCGCCACAGCAACATCATCCCGACTCCGCTGATCTTGGAAGCTCTCACGTGCCCCAAATACGACAATAGCTAACGTCAGCGTTGCAGATACTGAAATAGGTAAAACCCAAAGGTCTCGAGAAAGCTAGCTGCATGTCGGGTAGTGCGGGTGTGGTATGTAGGAACTGTGTCGAAACTCAATCAATACCACAGCGGCCTGCAGCTTATCAGCTCTGATCCCGAGGCAGAAGCGTTTTCGGTTTTCAACCATCCCCGCGCTGAGGCCATTCTGTCGTTCCGAACACAATCAGAGAGATTTCTAGTTCAGCTTTCTCTCTTGCTGGCCGCAAAGACAATCCACGGCATGATCGATCGCAACGGTTTCTGTGAGTCCATTGGAAGTAATTCAAAGTCCTAAGTGAGGTCCTCAAGTGTTAGGTGCTAGCTACAACTGGATAGTATGTAAAGTTAGCTGAGCTGGTTGATCATTTCGTGACTCACGTGATAGCGGCTATCCAACGCTCTCCAGTGATATTGTGTTGTTCGCCTTGGTGCCATTTCTCTCATGAGTAGTCTGTGCACGGGCAGCTTTCCATCAGTTGGCTAGCATTGTCCCATTGCGTGAAACAGAAAGTGATCGTGGTAGTGTTCGCGCTCCCCATAGATCTCGTACTGAACTCTGTTACTATATCCAGAGAGACCGGCGCAAGACGAAGCCATTTGACTAGAGACCTAGCGCAGAGTGAAGATCCAGTGGAGTGGATTACCGTTTGCCTCGTGTGTGAGGCCACACTAAACTTCACAAAGATCTTCTCCCAGAGCCTCTGCATCCTTAGTCGTGGTTGCGCCACATGTTCACTGGACGACGTTAAACAGAGGCGAAGTCTTATGCAAACTAGTTCCGGCGTTCCTGTTGGATACGATATTTCAGCGTTTTGTCAGGACGTTTCATCTCCAGTAAGTGTTGTAGTACATCCGCTACTCTAGTCTCTAGTGGTTAGGTAAAAACGTCTACTTTCTACATGTTGTACTACTATAACTATCCAGGTGCTGCCAATGACATTCCGTGTCGAATAGTACGAGAGCGTATACCGTTTGTCCTTTTCCTCGTAATGTCACTCTCACATACTGTGACATAGTGCATGATGATATCACATGATAATGACTGCACAGTAGCTCAGAAGTACATGTACATGTAGTGGATTCTTCAGACTACTGTGTGTCTGTACAGACTCCATAACAATGGTAATGTACAATGTAGGCTTAGGATACTGGAGTGCATAGTGAAAGGTGACATTGGGCACTCCCTTGAGGCTTTGGATGACTGCATTGTACTTTAAATACTGTACGTCAGTAGGCGGCTTGTACTGCTCACACACTGCTCAATACGTGGACTTATACTGCTCATACAGTGCGGTCAATACCAGGAACAGAGCTCTCTAGAGCAGAAGTCGGAACGTATGGAGTTTGAATAATACCCAGTACAACAGTGAAGTAGTCTGAATAGCGTGAATAAGCAGGTCACGTCTAGTTTGAGTTTCCACGCCTAGCCTGGAAGTCCTGTACTGCTGCTTGTCCTGCACTGGGGCTTCCAAAGTTGTGCAAAGTCGAGAGATGGATGGCTTAGACGTGATGTGATGAGACGAGGTGTACTTGGATTCGCCGATTATCCGTCTCTGGAATGGCATACGACTAGGGATTGCCACTGCTTTTGAAGAAAATGTATGGCGTATGGATCCCGGTGACTGGATAAACATGGCTCGTGACAGTGTGTGTTCTGATGTGATGTAAACTCCAGTTTATCATACTTTTGCTTGATATCGTTATGCTTCAAGACCACACATGACGGTGTACATGCGAACGCGCAAACGAAGTAAAAGTGCTTTGAAGTATGGTGGCTTCTTTGGAACATGCACATGTACACGGGGTCGCATGTCATTGAGCTGCTGCAATCAATTACTTACGTGTACATGTACATACCATTGTGTCGTACTTCGCACAGGAGACAATAATAGTAATTAAATTAAATTTAAATAACTATTGCCGCTGGGCCGTGACGTGCACAAGTAGAAGTACAATGTGTGTGGCCAGGCCTAGACCTAGGTCAGGATGCTGGCACCGACATCATACAGATAATATTATTTTGCTTGTCGCCTTGACGCTGGCCAGTGTTCGAGCTAATCGGTGATGAAGGCAAGCTAGGCGTTTTCGCTCATGTTCCATGCCATGCAATGGAATGCTATCTTCCGACACGAAATTGAAGTGCAACTGACATAGATATCAGTAAGAAAGGGCGTCTCACTCACAGCGCCTCACTCTTTTCAAGTCATCAATCCTTTTATGCCGCAGCGAATGCAAATCATCTCTTGAAGCCTTTGCACAAGCACGTAGTCTTATCTCCTGTTTTTCGTTTTTGTGAGTGTGTGGGAAAGAAACAGAACACCAAGTACTAGCCACAGCCCCGACAATTAACAATATTACGCCTCCGAATGTCAGGCGGAGGAAAAGCGTAGCACTAAAACTGTGCTGGATCGTTGTGGCACTGCGCTCAGCATGGCTTCCGACGGGTCGTTTGGCTTTGGGTTTCCCTCTGAAGACTGAAGTGTTGAGCCGGATCATGATGTCATGATGCGGATCATGATGTCATGATGCGGATCATGATATCATGACGGCAGTTTGTACATGTACGTGCTAGTAGTTGCTCACCAGCATTCACTGTTGAGTTTGAGTACAGTCTTGGGTATTATTGTGTCAAGTACAAGTACATGTACATGATTGCACGAAGACTACACACCAGTAGTACTCTGTGGTTATGTTCAGGAGTATGCATATACTGTACCATAATTATAGTGATGTTTGGCACATTCCGCTCTCCAATAATTGATGGGAATATCCGGGTTTCGCCCAGTATTTGTTATACTCTATACATCTGAGCAAGTGGTACAGGGCGGGGGGGGGGGTGGTCAATAGGTACCCCAGGTGGACTCCTGGGGTACGTGTATATTCCTTCATGTTATCAGTATCGAGCAAGAGGGGGGGGGGGTTGTAGCGTCCTTCTGGTAGACTAGGAATGCCCCATAGGCACCCCAGGCACCGTCGCGTTTTCAGGACAGGCCAACACCATAGCTCAGGCCCTCCATGGAGACCATTTCACTCTGGTATCCGCCAAGAGCTACTGACCATCGCAGTCTGTAAACAATTGACTAAATAATAGAGATATGACCATACAGAGTAGGTTAAGTCCTCTCTGTGCACAACGTTCTCAATGCCCAAAAGGGAAGAGATTCCTTAAAAGTAAGGTGGAACAAAATTTTATCGCGACTCCGTTTTTCATCATTATACAGGAACCCATTCCCCGCTTGATATTAGAATACCAGTAAAATCCAGAGATGCAATCAATTTTGTTCCACCTTGCTTGTAAGCAAGGATCACATATAAATATAATGGTTGCTGGCAACTTGCTGCACTGCTGAGTCCTTCATATATAAAATTAATGTGTTTGTGCTGTCAACAGTCGTGACCACCATTTTCTTGTGACCATACATGTATACAGTCATACTGAAGTAATAATATTATAAACAAGACACATTCAAGAAGACCGCATAATAGAGTGACCATGTTTAGTGGTATGTGAATAATTTGACCATATACATACCCAGGCCAACCTGTGGAGGAGGGTCTTGCGGGTGGGCGGGAGATTACAGGGGGTCTGTCCAAGCCTACAAGGTTCCCTTGTTAGTCCTATTTCCAAGTCACATTTAGCTTTTGCTGAGAGCGAACTCCCTTTCACTTATGCTCTCCTGTGCTCTTTGCTGTCGTTTGTACGTGTACCTGTATCACAGGCGTTGGCGTAGTGCTGGATAGCCCTGTATGAACTGACCTTCAACGATCGTGGAGAGATCTTTCATAGAAGGTCCTTATCTGGACGCTACTAGTGACGACGTAGACACACTGCGTGGCTGTAGTGACGTGTTCACCGGATCAGAGAGAGAACAACAACTCCTGTCTGGCTGTATAGCACCTGAGGGAGAAAGAGAATAGAATTTATCTGCTGAGCTGTCGTCCACGGTCCAGCTGCACAATGTCTCTACCCATACTGCTGTCCTTGCTGCTGTTGCAAACAGTACATGTCCTCGGTCATTTCGATCAGCACTCATCTTCACCATTAGCCGAAGAGTTTCTAGCAGCAGATCGTCCACTGAAGTGTCAGCGGATGAAGAACCGCTTTGGGAAAATATGCTCTAGCTACGGTTACAACATGACGATGATGCCTAACCTGCTCAATCATCAGCGACAGAAGGAAGCCTATGCGCACTTTCAGGGCTATGCGCGTCTGCTGGAATCGCGCTGCTCTCCGGATCTGCCGTTCTTGCTGTGCGCTTTCCACTTTCCGATGTGCTCGGATGCTGGACGCAGCGACGCCACCAGTGCCTTTGCTCCCGACCTGATCGTACCATGCCGGGGCCTGTGCGAGAGAGTGAGAGACAGCTGCCTGCCCACCATGGCACAGCATGGGTTCTTCTGGCCAGAGCAGATGCAGTGTGAGAAGTTGCAGATTAAGCCGCTGGTACGCACTCGGGAAGGAGAGCGCATCGCTTGTGTGGATCGGCCGTCAGGAGAAACAGTGACCGACCCACGTAAGTATAATAATAATAGTAGTGCAAGTTCAATTCTTGGAAACAGAGTAAAAACCACATATGCGATGCCATGTAACACGATCCAGGATCTGAGAAAATATACCTCCTGGATTCAGTGTCAGAAGTGGACTATCACCAGTCTGGAGTTTCGATCTTTTGATCTAATTCTTCTTGCTGATCAAGATAGTGTAACGTGTTTTTCTAGCTTTAAAGAATACCCCATCTATTGTACAATAGTCGAATGAACATTGTCCAGACCCTTACACTAGTTACAGAGACCATGGCTGATATGTGGTGCAAGGACTTGTATACCAGTAAATACCCAATAGAGATCAACATCAGCACCATGTGTAAGCTGCTGTCAATAGCGCCATAATCGCGTATTCCAAGTCATGCAAAATGCAGGGGACCGTCAGCTTGCCCTGTGAATATGGATACTCTACTGCGATAGGGCTACTGCAGACCTTCTTTTACGAATTGGGAGCGTGGTTTTCAAATTAAAAAAGGTGAAGTTGGGATGCTTGATACTTCATCTGGCAGTAATTAACAAACTGTATGTCATTGCTGACATGTCGCAGACATAAAGCCCGCCAATACTGCCAGCTACAGAGAAAAATTGCTCATATAGAATTTGGGAGGATAATAGCGTCGAGATTAGTGTTCCTTTTATCCGTTTCTCCATTCCTTGACCACAAAGTAATAATTATACATTATGTAGAGCGGTTCTGACATTGCGTATTGGCTGCAAATGATGAGACCATGGCTTGTGTTGTTTCTGTCCACTCTGTGCAGCCACATGTCCACCTATCTCGTGTGATACGGTCAAGTTGAAGAAGAAAACGTTCAGCAAAGGCCTCTTCCACTTTGGTGAGTATATACTGCGAAGAAAACCTGGTGGTCATTTATAATAGTTGTTAGCTCCAGAACCGAGTAGACATAGACTTTGTTCGCAGTATTGTATTGTTTCCCAGAAAGTGAATAAAATCTGTCAAGGCAACCACTCGGAGAAGGCGACCAACTGTCCAAGGGAACCGCTACCACCAGGACCAAGGGTTGTCAATTTCATTCAAATGCCCTGGAGCAGGAGACCGCCTGTACACAGCGACCACATTTTGGAGGTCCCTTGAGCGGTCGCTTTGCACAGGTCTCACTGTACATGTATTGCGTTGTGGTATTGTATTGTATTTTATGATTTTACTTGGGCATTCCCAACAGACCCTAAGGTCTTCTTACAGGGCACCCATGGTGGTGTTTCACGTCTTTCCTCTGCAATGCATAATAGATCCTAGAATACGCCTTACCTAACGCATACAAACAAACATATCCATTTGTGTGCTATTATTGACTGCAGCCATCGAGGCATCGTACCTGGGCGGATTTTTGCAGAATGACCGCAAGGAGTTGCAAGTACGTTTGTCCAATATCCATCACTTCTGCAGCCTGGCACCGGACAGTGCCTCGAAACTCCAGATTGGCTCCATGATAGCACTGCGAACAGAGCAGGCTGACCTCTGCTCCTGCCCCGACCTGGAAACAGGGGCGACCTACCTCTTTACCGGGCACTTTGACCAGCAGGGACGCATGAACGTAGACTCGCACAGAAGCATGATGAGTCTGGTGGGCTCACGGTCGCAGTCCAAGCAAAGTCGGCGCGTAAAGAAATGGATGAAGCGTTTCTGCAAGCGATCCACCCTTTCCTTCCTCGCTCCACCCACGGAGTGATCTGATTCGAAATTATCAGAAACTCTTCCTCTCTTTTTACCTTTTTTTCTCCATATTTCGTGTTTATTCTGCATAATTATAAGATACAATAATAAACAGGTAGCTGTAAGTGGGGTACATCTTGAGTATATCAATAATTATGTTTCAATAATGAGATAAAGGTCACATGATTTGCTTCGCTTGGCCACTTTCTTGTCCGCTGGCCGAAGCACATCTATTATTTAATGCCTATCCCAGTTCAAACCTACTTGTACGTACATGTATGTGAATGAAGGAAACATGCATGCGTGTCATCTGCACTGGATTATGGAGATCATGGAAGTGGCTCCATTGGTAATAAGTAATGTACTGGTGGTGAGTCTGACCACCTTGAACTGAATTCAGACTAACCTAAGTATTACACCATCTGTCTTTGTCCATGAGTTCATGTCTATGTTCGATGCCACTCTGCGTGACGTTTGCCTGTTATGCTGGAATTGCATTGCAAACACAGATGGTCTGTGTTCATGCGACGATATCGTATTTAGATTGCTCTAGTGCGAGATTGACCTTTGAGAAATAATTGCTGAGAACCATTTGCTGGCAGATTTTCCATGATTGCAATCTACATGTAGATAATATGATTATAAGCATAATTTCTTAGATTGTACAAGTAAGCATATACTGTGCACATGGCAATGAATACATGGACCTGCACCAACACAGGTACAAAGAAGGGATACTTAATTCAGAGTTTCTCACCTGCGCTGCCCCTCGAGTCTCCTCTCCCTCTGTGGGTGGGGCAAGCGCTCCCTTTTTCCGAGGTCATCAGCAACAGAGATACAGTACCTTTGAAGGATCCGGCCAGTCTGTGATGCAGGGAGAGCGGAGCTGAAAAGCAGTGATAACAAATGCCATGCACTAACTTACTCGCAAGGAGGCATGCTCCTGCAACCGAATGAGTTTATTGCCAGTCACTAGCTCACAAGCAGTCACAAACATCAAACCAAACGTTTTAGGGCTTGAAAGTGCTACGTCACAGCATAGCAACAATTTCAAAAATTCAAAAACTGGATCCACTTGGACCAGTTTTTGTATGGATCCAAGCACATTTCAAGCCGTCTTACTCACAGCAAGGTGATGCAGCCAGGGAAACTGACTGATTTGGCTAATGGGGGCGGGGTGACAACTGGTGGCGAAATAAAAGTCACACCTGCATGCGACATGAGTGGGTTGCTATGCACCCACATACTTAGGCAATAGCAAAGTCACACCTTAGTGGATCCAAAATAGAAATCTGATGTCAACTTACTACTCCCTGGGCGTTTTTGACGTCATCACTTTCAAGCCCTATTGGGACAGGTGGGGGGGGGGGGGCTGCAAGCCAAGCGCTTACCACCAATGCTGAATAAGCAGTATACAGTAGTAGCCACCAACGGCTAGTGACCATGCAATGCATGCATGGGGGTCTGTGAACAATTTGACCATATTATAGAGATGCGACCATACAGAGTAGGTTTAAAAAAGTTCTCAGGTCTGTGCACAAAGTGCTTCAAGATATTTTTACTGCGATCGGTGTTTCACTACAATAACAAGAACCCATTCCTCGCTTGATATTAGAATAAAAAAATCCTGATAATCGTGCAAGAGTAAAATTCGGAGATGCAATATACATGTATGGTGCTCCACCTAACTTGTACAGCAACGACCACAATCGATGGTTGCTGGGCTGATGAGTCCTGCATTGTCGCCAGTCGTGACCACCATGTTCTTGTGACCATAATATTATAACAACAAGACACCGTGAAGACGACTGCATATAGGGCGACCATGTTTAGTGGTGTGTGAACGATTTGACCATGTATATACCCAGCCTGCCCTGTGGAGGAGGGTCTTGCAAGGGGGGGGGGGGAGATTACAGGGGGTCTGTCCATCCAAACCTACAAGGTTCCCTTGTTAGTTCTATTTCCAAGTCACATTTAGCTTTTGCTGAGAGCGAACTCCCTTTCACTTATGCTCTCTTGGGCTCTTTGCTGTCGTTTGTGCTTGTGCCTGTATGACAGGCATTGGCGTAGTGCTGGATAGCCCTGGATGAACTGCCCTACAACGATCGTGGAGAGATCTTTCATAGAAGGTCTTTATCTGGACGCTACTAGTAGTGACGACGTAGACACATTGTGCGGCTGTAGTGACGTGTTCACCGGAATCAGAGAGAGAACAACAACTCCTGCCTGGCAGTATAATACTTGAGGGAGAAAGAGAAGAGGATTTATTTGCTGAGCTGTCATCATGCAGTGTTCAATGTTCCCCTGCACAATGTCTCTACCCATACTGGTGTCCTTGCTGCTGTTGAAAACAGTACATGTCCTCGGTCATTTCGATCAGCACTCATCTTCACCATTAGCCGAAGAGTTTCTAGCAGCAGACCGTCCACTGAAGTGTCAGCGTTTGAAGAACTGCTTTGGGAAAATATGCTCTAGCTACGGCTATAATATGACCATGTTGCCTAATCGGCTCAATCATCAGCGACAGGAGGAAGCCTATGCCCACTTTCAGGGCTTTGCGCGTCTGCTTGAATCTCGCTGCTCTCCGGACCTGCCCTTCTTGCTGTGCGCTTTCCACTTTCCGATGTGCTCTGATGCTGGAGGCAGTGACGCCACCAGTGTCTTTGCTCCTGACCTGATCATACCGTGTCGGGGGCTGTGCGAGAGAGTGAGAGACAGCTGCCTGCCCACCATGGCACAGCATGGCTTCTTGTGGCCCGAGCAGATGCGAGAGGTGTGAGAAGTTGCAGATACAGCCGCTTGTAAGCACTTGGGAAGGCGAGAGCATCGCTTGTGTTGATCGGCCTTCAGGAGAAACAGTGATTGATCCACGTAAGTATAGTACTAGTAGTGCAAGTTCAATTATTGAAAACAGATTAAAAAATCGTACGCGGTGCCATGTAACACGATCCAGGATCTGAAAAAATTAATTATACCTCCTGAATTCAGTGCCAGAAGTGGACTACATGTGTCACCAGTCTCGAGCTTCCATCTTTTGATCTAACCCTTCTTGCTGATGAAGTTGGTGTTACTTGTTTTCTCCCATAAACAACACATCTACTGTACATTGTACATGTATAGGGAAAGGGACATTGAGCAGATCCTTACTGATACCATTACTGATGTTTGGTGCAAAGACTTGTATACCAGCAATACCCAATAGAGATCAACATCGGCATCATGTGTAAGCTGCTGTCAACAGCGCCATAATAGCGGAATCAAAGTAATCATCTGTTTTTTTTCTGTTCTCTTTCTGTTGTACCCGATCTCCTTCTGATGTACTGCTGAGTCTATGCTGAAGATCTAAGCATTTTAATTCTCATTCTCATTATAATTTTCATATTCGCTTTCATGTTATTGGGTTCTATGCCCGTTTGAATTTGCGAATCAAAATAAATACAAACAAACAAACAAACAAACAAAGTCATGCAAAATGCAAGTGTACCGTCCGTTTTCCGTGCTCCTCAGCTGTGTCAATATGGATACTCTACTGGAATAGGGATACTGCAGATATTTTTTACGAATTGGATGCTTGGTTTTGAAAAAAAAGTTGAAGTTGAGATGTACGTGTATGATACTTCTTGCAACCATCTATAAACTGTATGCCAGTGCTGACGTGTGGTTGACATAAGGCCAGTATCGCCAAATATAGAGCACAGCTGCTCATACAAAACTTACTTAGGAGGACAGTAGCATCAAGAGTCCATAAACATGGACTCTTGGCTGAGTCTTGGTAGCATTAAGAGTCCATAAACTGTTTATGGACTCTTGGTAGCATGGATAATAGTATTCCTTTAGTGCATTTTCTTCCTGGACTATAAAAATAATAATAATTCTCTATTTAGAGCGGTTCTGACATTGCGTAATGGCTGCAAATGATGAGATGGTGGTTTGTGTTGTTTCTGTCCACTCTGTGTAGCCACATGCCCACCAATCCCATGTGATACGGTCAAGTTGAAGAAGAAAACGTTCAGCAAAGACCTCTTCCACTTTGGTGAGCATCTTAAACACAGCGCGAAAATCTGGGTGTCATTTAGTATGAATATTAGCTAAAGTTCTGAGTAGAAAAGGGTAGAAGTAAAGGAATTTATTATTTTTATGGAAACGCCCTACAGACGCTGCCGTCTTGTTACAGGGAACCAGAAATGCTCTTTACAGAAAATATGAATGTATTATTGTATGGTTGTTGTTGTTGTTTTTTATTTGAATTCGCAATACCAAACGGGCAATAAGCCCCTTTACATGGAAGCGAATAAAAGAATGCTAAGAATGAGGCATTTTGTTGAATATTATTTCAAGCGGAAATACTGATCCCGGGAGGTCTCCCATAAAGTGTATTAATGTATTGTTGAACTCGGATGGTGAGCCAATTTTATTTATATATTTATACAAGTATTATTCAAAGGATCAGTCGGGGAAGTGAACTGCCTGAAAAGAGAAAAAACGCCAGACCCACCAGGACTCGAACCTGGGACCCTGCTTGTCATGAGCAATGCTCTAACCACTGAGCTATGGGACCAGGCTGAACCTAGAAGGCGCTGACAAGTTTTTCACTCCAAAGGCAGCTCACAACACGTGCCACACATACTGATGGCACTTGGGTCTTTTTCCCTCCCCCAGGGGACCAATCACGGTCAGTTTCTGGAAACTACCAGAGGTGAAAGAAAGTGATTAAATTTGGAAAGGATGGGAGAACTTCAAATTCAAAGGATCAGTCGGGGAAGTGAAAAACTTGTCAGCGCCTTCTAGGTTCAGCCTGGTCCCATAGCTCAGTGGTTAGAGCATTGCTCATGACAAGCAGGGTCCCAGGTTCGAGTCCTGGTGGGTCTGGCGTTTTTCTCTTTTCAGGCAGTTCACTTCCCCGACTGATCCTTTGAATTTGAAGTTCTCCCATCCTTTCCAAATTTAATCACTTTCTTTCACCTCTGGTAGTTTCCAGAAACTGACCGTGGTTGGTCCCCTGGGGGAGGGAAAAAGACCCAAGTGCCATCAGTATGTGTGGCACGTGTTGTGAGCTGCCTTTGGAGTGAAAAACTTGTCAGCGCCTTCTAGGTTCAGCCTGGTCCCATAGCTCAGTGGTTAGAGCATTGCTCATGACAAGCAGGGTCCCAGGTTCGAGTCCTGGTGGGTCTGGCGTTTTTTCTCTTTTCAGGCAGTTCACTTCCCCGACTGATCCTTTGAATTTGAAGTTCTCCCATCCTTTCCAAACAAGTATTATTATTATTATTTTAATATAGCTATGAATAGGATAAATAATATTTTTGTTATACTTGCAAATACACGGTAATATAATATTATGTCAAACAAGTAACGTACTACCTCCGACAAGCAAAACTTGGCGCGTTTTTTGCTTCAAATCACTCGACGTAACTCACACTTTACAATCGAAAATAATGATTGACTCACCAAATTACAACTTTGTATTGCTCAACAAGGACTTTAGAGACATCAGTTATTCTGAATCACTCTCCTCTGATTCAGCGATCGCAGCTTCTTGTGAAGAGGAATTGTCCCTGTAGTGAGACGAAAATGCGATTGCAGCGGATTCAGTTGCAGCAAGTACCTCTGCTGTGATCACTCTGGAAATATCGATGCCGCTCCTGTATTCTGTG